AAAAAAAAACACATTCAAGATGGAAATTACCACGGGGTCGTAGGGATGAAAAATATTAAACAAGCGACGAATTTTGTTCCGTTCGCCAAGTACTGACTTTGCGCCACGCATAATCAAAAAAACGGCTAGCGGGGATCCAATACAGAACAAATTAGTGACCTTAAAGCCCCAGAACAACTTCGAAGTATAAATTAAATCACTATGCCGTTGATAGGCACCGTTTTAATTTATATCTTTGGATTTCAAAACTAAAATGACAAACTTTAAACTTCAGCTGCTCATCAGGAGTAATAAGCATTTTTTCAAATCCTCCATAAAGATCAAAAACCCTGAAAACATTTAACATTATAAATACTTTCTCTGACTTCCAGCTTTCTTTTATTTTCTTTAAACATTCAAAAGCTATGAAACAACTGGTAAGAACGTATAAAGCAAAAAAGCGATCTCCACTAAGAAACTGAACCCAAAACTGTTCGTGCAGTACCAGAACGAACATCGTAATTAAAAGTTTTCCTCAATTCTTTGAAATTTTGATAAGTCACCTTTTTCTAGCTGCTTGAAATTCTTGCAAAGCATCTGCATTCTGACAATCCGAGCTTGAAATTTCTTCATCCTTAATGTACCTTGTTATGAATTCTTATAAAACTTCACAAATGAAACACAGTAACCATGAAATGACTGAATATCAAGCAATGTCACAAAATAATCTTACAACGGCGTTAGAAACAAACGTGTCGTAGAGCGTTAGCGGCGACCAATTAGTCAGAATGTCATAACACATTACAGAGCCAAGGGAATGAGCGAACAGTGAAATGGGACCTGAATAATCTGGATGATGCTCGATAAAAAGATTGTACGCTTTATTGAGCGACTTGACCAATCCTCCCATGATCTGAAGCAAACTGTAAAATTCCGTCCAAACAAAAGTGTACAGTGCATGACATAATGAAAACGGCAAATAAAAATCATATGGTAGGTAAGTAAAGCAGGCGCAGCAAAAGTGAAGCAGAATAGACATAGCTTAACTGTGATTCGATAAGACAAAATTTCCTTACTTCTTAAAGTTGTTAGAATCTGGAATGTCAAAATAAAATGTAATTTGAACGAGGACTAGAAAAGGCGTAAATAGGCCCCACAAATGCAAAAATACTAGAAGAACACTGCAATGAATAAGAGTAACCTCCTTTCTATAAAGTGGTGACTGGTAATACATGATATCAAGAACTGTCGAATTCAACATTCGTCTAACACTGGACATTTTCGGAAGAGTTATTAAATCGGTTAATCCATCGTCTAAAACGAGGGAAGTTCGCCATTCAACAGGCAAAATCATAGGGCGCGACTTCTCATCTGGATAATTTCTTTCCATATGTGTATACACAGTGCTACGTACTCTGAAGCAAAAAACAAGAATTATTCAAAAATAAAGACAATGAACTCTCCCGTTTCAGCAGCTCAAAAATATAAAAGGTGGCCATGGTCATTTCGAGACAGCTTTAAATCTTGAAGCAAATGTAAGCTAACAAGAAAATTCATAAAACTACAAATATCGCGCGCTAAAAAAATAATGAATGAAAAATGCCGAGAACCAACTGTTCAGTATTCCGTGCGATCAAGCTTTCATATCCTTTCTGACCAACACCATGCACAACAAATATCAAGTGACTGATTTCTCTCCCACCATCGTTCCAATCGGCTTCTTCATAGCCACGTTTCAAAAAAGTACCTCTTCCCCAACTTATGTACCGCAAAAACCGACTAGTTTTCGAAGTGTTGTACAAGACAATATCTATTACAGAGTTCCATTTAACTTCCGATTGGTCATCCAATTTAAGCTCCGTTAAAACTAAATAATTTCATATCAGGTACCATTCTCAAAGATAAGTTGATAAAAAATGCAAAGGTGAAATTTCCCTCAAAATATTTGAAAAAAAACAGAATCACACCCTCAGTTAACTGAATAAATGTATAGTTTGATAGGTCACTCTGGAACTAAAGCCGTCTTTAGGAACTACTAATCAAGCAGCATATCGACTTTAAAAATTGGGTTAATTCTCAAAACAAAAAAAAAAAAACAATCGATAACGAAAAGTTACTTTTCTCAAATAACGCCCCTATGAAATCAGAGCTGCGTTACACCTCTTGTCGGAAAGAAATTTCTAGAAAGTAAAAAAATTGGTAGCTCTTAGGAATCACCATAAAACTGTATGGTACTTCGCAGGTCGTATACACTCAGTAGTGCAAATCACTGTTTCGCACCTTCAAAATCTGCTGCGCTATGGTACTTTTAAGCTTACCCTCTTCTCCCCCTCCCCCTCCCCTCAAACACTGTCGCTGTGCACATTATCTGCATTTCCTCACTCAGAACTTCCCAGCCATAACAGTACACCAGAAAAGATCTTGGCAGAAATCTTAAAGAAACGGTGGTGGGTTTGGTGAACAACCGTCAACTTGCTCGCACTCTCGCATTCCGAAATTTTTCAAACAACTGTTTCAAAAAAAACTTGAATGAAAAACATTTTGAGGAAGTACCAATAAAAAGACATTTCGAAAACCCCTTCCAAACCTTAAACATTCTCCACATGCCTTACCTTAAACGCCTTACCTTAAATTGGCACTTCAGTTCTCAACAACTGGTCATGATGCATTTGACGCCATGAGAAGTGAGAAAATAAAAAAAGAAAACTACAACGCGAAAATTTCCATCCTTCAAACCGCTACAACACAAAAAACCCCATCCCTTAATTCCCATAAACAAAGAGACTGAAGTGTTACCTTGCTGCTACTAGCATTGGTTTTAGAATAACCCTCTTTTGAAAGTCAGAAAAACTCGCTTTAACGCATCAAGTTAAGACTCGTTTGGGAAAATGAATCCCTCTGATTTTCAATAAAACTGTTCAAAAATTTCCTATCAGAGCCTGCTTAATTAGCTAAGCAATCTGTAAGGATTAACAGTGTCTATATCCACCTCATAGTGCCCAATATTTCCATCAATATCCTTAATCAAACTCGTGTCCCCCTGTCATAACTTCTAGTAAAGAAAAAAAATATAAATACGACGAGACGATGAAGAAAAAAAATAGATTTTGTCCACTGGCAAGACCAGCCACGACTTCTTAGATACTTATCACAAAAACTGAAATAAGTGGAGTTCAGCTCACTTGTGTACTCTGTAATGACTTCATCTCTTTAAATAAAATAGAACGTTACGGTAACAGACTCTAAATGGCACTCATCTATGTACATTTGACGCCAAGATGAACTTCATACAATTGCTTCACAGATATGCTGCCAATAGTTCACTCTTCTACCTTACAACAAAGCGTACTTCAATACCAATTTCAGAATTTAGAGAGTTATGTTTGCAGCAATCCCTGCTTCAATTCTACCAGGACCCACTGCAGCGAGGTCGCCGATGACTCATCATAAGAGCTCCCAATAAACAGCACACTCCTTCCTTGTCTGCTCTCAAAAAACGTTTGCCTCTTTTGATACTCAACCATACTTCGGTGAAGGCAGACAATCATGCGCAATTCCGCTGCATATCTCGCTGATCTTTCCAAAAAAGCTAATAACTTATCCGAAAATTTCAAATTCCAATGCACAATGCAGTGGTAATCCTTGGAAATTTGTTAATGGTTGAAGAAATTTAATTTACGGCTGCATCTCCAACACTAGTTTCATATTCAGCTAATACTTTGAGAGCGAAAACACTTATAAACTTTAACACTAGTTTCGATACGTTAGCAGCTAAATTCCACGAGTCCGTGCCCTACAAGACTTGAAAAACTGGAAATCAAAAGGACCAGTATGAAAATCGTATAAAAAGTTCCAAATTTCCCCTTGATAAAAGTAGAGTGGAAGAAGTCAAACTGTTCCAAAACCACACTTGTGTGACGCGTATCCTAGAATTTGCTTCAAATGTTCTGTAACTTAAAACTTTTGAATCATTTTCTCAACTCCTACTGCCAATGATTTAAGTTCCCAACAAGCGAGTAACTTACTAAGAAAAATGTTTATGAAAAGCAAGTACCTGGGACTCCAATCCCAACAAATCTTCTTAGTTTCCTCTCTCCCGGACGCTTGGAGAAGAAATCAAGCATTAACTAAGGGTCAAGTAGAGAAGAAGGGGAACTACTGCAGACCATCAGAGTTACAAAGATACAAATTTCAGATTTCTACCAAAAAAACGATTCTGAGACCAACATAACGATGCTAGAATTTACAACGTCAGCTTACAGATGTTCAGTAGACTCAAAATTTTCACAGCACTGACGAATCAGTGTTTATATACTCGTGTTCATCTCTAGTTATCATTCAACGATTATGGGCGGAAAAACGCCTTGTTTTGGGGAAGATTCCAGTAGCTTTGGCTCAGTACTACTATGCTTTATAAAGGGAAAGGCATTTTTTCATCAATGTTTTATCTGTCAGTCTTCAAAATCTGTCGCTTTTCCGCCTTTTTTCTGTCCAAATTTTAGCAGAAATTTTAGAGCGTTTTCGTTTTTTACACATACCTTTCAACTTAACTACTTCAGTAGCTCAGTTAGTTGCACAGGAGCAGATACCAATTTTCTCGCCGTAGGATTCTACGTGGTCAAGAGTTACAAAATTTGTGCAGAAAATATAAGGTTCAAACCACTGTAAAAAAGAAAGACTGTCTTAGAGTGACAATTTGAAAAAACCTAGTTTGCTGATGAGCAAGACAGTATTGGAAAAAATACTAACAGAATAAGAAACACTAAAAAAAATAAGGGTCGATAAAAAAGAATAGCAATATATACTATCCGTGCTTTTTTTTTTTTCGCTGTTCTCAGAAGCAGAATGGTTCTTTTTGAAGCAATATCGAGACTACTTTTGATTTTTTGCAATAGCGTATAGAGGACGATATCGTAGTCTCCCTCGCCAACCACCGGAAAATGTGCTTGCTTAAGTTCAATCATGACTTTTTAATCTCGGTCATTTTAAGACCTCTACGGTAGTTTTGGCGTCATTTTGTTTATAACATTTGTAGCTACATATTGATGTTTTATTTCATTCAGTTTTAATGCCACTGCTGAGTTATCTACTGGGAATTAACTTAGAGGTTGGTTCTTTGTTTTCTGTTGTGTTCTCCTTCCTCTAAACCATTGAAAAACTTTTTAAAGCCAGCATACAGTAATCAGTCCCAACTGTGGTGAACATAATAACAGCAAAATCTTTAGGAATACTAACACTCGGTTAAAGACTAATTTGAAAAAGTGAGTTGATTACACATAAACCAGTCTTATCTCCCATTGTTAATGGTGTGTTTCCAGAACCCAGAGGGTCTAAAGCCTACTAAAACCCCTCAAAAAATCTAGTAGCATACCTGGTAAAACCTAAAAAAATGGTGTAGTTCCCATGCAATACAGAGCTATTTCGCAAGTAATAAAAGTAGTAATAGACAAAATTAGCCCTTGTGTCACATTTCAAAAAAGATCTCGACCAGGACCTCTTATATCGTTGAAATTTAGCAGTGTTGTATAGCCACAAATTTGACTAACACAAGCAGGTCACAACCTCCACAAAACCCACAATATAGGCCGCGTAAAAATGCCTTAGTTTAAACACAAATCTGCATTTCTATCAGTCTACATCATCGTAATCCCGGTCCTACGACTGAAATTTATTGAACAGTAAATAGATATAATATATAATTAAAAATATATATGAGCCATTCCACGCCAAATCACACTTTTGCACTTGGCCTCTCAGATTTTTTCCACTCTTAGCTAATTAATAGAGTCTAGGCCAGCATAAAGAAAGCAGCAAAGAAAATCTGGAAAAGTGAATTCCCCGCCAAGTTACACCCCGCTCCCCCGAAAGTTGCAAAATTTGCCAGCTTGCCGCTTGAGATGCTTTTTTCTCGTGCCTGAACTTTTAATAAAATGTTAAATAATTTAATTCTGATAAAAGACAAAGATACAGTAGACACAAAATTTCAAACAGACATAGAAAAAGAACATAACTTTAAATTTTTTAAAAAAGTTATATTTTGTGTGAAAATTCTTCCTCTGCAACATATCAAAATTTGGAGATAGCGATTTTTCGGTATCGAAAGTAATGAGCCAGGAAGGAATTTGAAACTGAAAAAAACCACTATTTTTGCAGTAATTCTCATGTATTTTACAGTGGCAAAATCATCCGGAGCCGCTTCTATGCCGCAGCTGGCAGCTGCAAATAGCTGGTATGCTTTAAACGTTGAAGATTTGCTATCAAAGGTGTACTTCAATAATATTAACAAATTATTATTCTGCAAGTTTATTCTGCAGAAGTAGTCTTTACTCCAGTCCTCTCTAGTTGTCGTGTTTTATTTTGTAAAATTTTGTCCTTCCTAGCTTGTAACTCTCGATATCAAAGAATCGCCATCTCCAAATTTTGATGTTGTAGAGAGAAAAATTTTACACGAAATGTATCCCTCTTGAGAAATTTAAAAACACGTTTTTTTTTCTATGTCTGTTTGAAATCTTGTTTTCAATGTATCTTTCTGTATTTTTATCAGAATAAAATTACTTAACATACTTTTAAAAGTTCAGGACAGGAGAAAAACCTGGCAAATTTTGCAACTTTGGGGGTGTAACTTGGCGAGGAATTCACTTTTAAAAGTTTTCTTTGCGGCTTTCTTTTACTCGCCTAGACTCTACTAAACAGAAAAAAATGAAAAAAATCTGAGAGGTCGATGTTCAAAAAGTGTGCGATTTGGCATGGAATGGCCCATATATGTTTACTTATTTACTTGTAAACTTAGAAATGTCACAGTGCATCAAATCAAAAGGTCCCCTGTTAGTAACACAATGATTTCATAACTACAAGAAAAACCCGTTCCTAGGTCATAACGACTATAAAAATAAAACTTTTTTAGAAAAGGCATCCCAAATACAAAAAAAAAAAAATACTTGCTAAAAACATACTGTTTTACATCTCGCAGTGATGTCAATGCCAAACGATTGTGGAACGAAACAATCCCTTCTTCCAAAGAAAAAAACTCCTCGTTCATAAGGAAGGTAAAAAGGATGAGCTGAAAACCGTCATACAAAACACTCCAGAGAGACAACGAAATATTGAACCGTTCCCGAATTCCCAGCGTTTACAGCATAACCAAAAAAAACTTTGACAGAAAGACAAGAAAAATTTTTTATTTTGCTTCCCTTTGCAGCATTAGTCGTGTGTACCGATAAATCAGTTTCATGAGCAAATCTTCACTTTTCCTTTTTTCCACAAAAATGTACTTTCCACTACACCTGTCACTTTCTTCTCATACGAATTCTAATTGCAGAAAACATTGTCACCAGTCCCGTTCCAATAACTGGTTTGCCAGCATGCCGAATCCCTCAGGTCGCTGTTCAGAACAACAACTTTTTTAGAATTCTTTAAAATTACTCCGTATTAAACCAATTACAGTTCTGAATACCAATTTTCTGTATTAAATAACTAAAATAAGCAGAACTACGACGTGAACTTTGGCAAAATTCCAAAAGAGGCAAAGTAGCTGAACTAATGTTTGCTGACCACCTGATCACCTTTTATTACTGCTAATATTAACCGTTTTGATTACTCCTCGAGTGTAATTCCTCTTTTTTTATCATGAAAACTTACTCTGGTTATACAACTTTGAGCAATCTCATTCTCTAAAGTTAATCCTGTACAAACGGAATATAATTCTTTCCACCTATTTCTTATAGCCCCTGAATTACTCTGGAATGCTGAAAAAATAAAAATGTCCTTCAAAGAATTTAGCAGTCCCTGACTTCTGCTTTTACGAATTGACAGACCAAATCTACTTCGACACTGTTACACTTCAGAAATGATCCCCCATTCAGTAAGTTCAATAATTCCCTACCATTGCCTCCACTGTCTTTATCGACATGAAAATTTTTTTATCTGGCTTGAAAGATCACAAAAATCAATTCAAAAATGGCTAGAGGAAGTAAGTAGTACTCTTTTGCAGATGTGGCACAGAAATGGGCAGAGAGGCAGTACACGACATATGCTGCAAACAAAAATGTATGTATAGCAGACTAGCTTGGTTTTTTGGAAGACGAAATAAGTGAAGAAAGTCTTTTTGTCCTGCAAAGTTTGAAAGTCAGTCACCTGTTTTACATTGTTTTTCCTCAAAAAGACAAATTGTTACACATCCTGATCCGATTTCCAAAGTTGTTTGACAACTGCTTTTCATAATAAGACTTCAATGAGAATTACTTTTCCTCTACAGTTTTTTAAACCACTTTCTTTCTTAAAAAAAATGGAAACGCATCTACTTTTAGAGCAAGAACTATGAGCTTATTGTATGGAAATTCATGAAGAAAGTACAACGACGACCAGCCCAAAAATTGCTCAGGTTTAACCTCAATATTAATGTTCTGCTCATTTC